GGGGGGGGATAATAAAGTGATCTTGCCATTCCCTAACAGCCATTTTAGTAATGGAACAGGTGCATGATTACATAAACAAAAGGCAGTGCAAGCTGCAGGGCATTGTTGAATGATAACATTCATCTATCTTTCATTTAGTGGGAATTTTTGTAGGGTTGTTGTTTCAGTAATTTACTCAATTAATACTTGAATTTATTGATAATCGTGTATAACCGAATTTATAGCATGTTGGGTTCTTATTGTGTTAAAGAAAATGCTATTGAACCCTAATTTAGATCCCAAATAGCATCACAAATGAATGGGAGACTATTAGATAAGTGAGTCTCATCAATTTTTTTAAATTAGACCCATTGAATCGATGGTCCTTATTGATTTGAGATGCCATTTGAAATCTTAAACTTGGGTTGCATAGCATTGCTCGTGTTAAAACTATTTTTAGTGAGTTCGTGTCATGTTTAGTCAAATATGATATTAATCTGTATATTCAATGGGTTTAACGAGTCTCATCAATCCGTTTATCTCCCGAACCCACTAAAATTGAATTTACACTTGTTAATTCAGTGTCTATATTATATGAAATTTATTAATCGTATTTAGGATTGTCGGGCTTATTTTCTGGAGTTCAATGTGATCCAGCGAATTTAACAATGGTGGAAACAAAAGCCTGGATCTAACAGTTCAGTTGGGCCCCCTACATGTAGGTGTGAGTTTAGTTTTAGAAGATAATGGAATGTGAGTATTTTTTTCAAAATTTATTTAGTTTTAAGTACCACCTTTAAACTTATCCTCTTTTAAGTCCTCTTTTTTATCATAAAATTGTCAATAAGTACACATTTTAAAACATTTTCAAATTCTCTCTAAAATGTATTCCATAATTACTCCTACCATAAATAATGCATATCTACTTGAATGTAAAACTTTCAAGATTAGAATGTAAGACTTTCAAGATTATTTTTAATATTTGTGTATCATTTAAATTTTGAAATTATATATATATACACACACACACGTGCGTAATACAATGACATCAAACAGTGACACGTTCAACAAAAAAATATTAACATCAAACTGTGACACACTCAACAAAAAAATAGTAACATCTAACAATGACACACTTAACAAAAATATTTGTGTTACTGTTTGATGTTACTATTTTTTTGTTGAGTGTGTCACCGTTTGATATAACTATTTTTTTTATTGAGTGTGCTACTGTTTGATGCTACTCTTTTTTTGTTGAATGTGTCACTATTTGATGTTACTATTTTTTTGTTGAGCATGTTACTGTATTACGTGCGTGTGTATATATATATATTAAATTTTAAAATTCAAATGATATACAAATATCAAAAGTCTCACATTCTAATCTTGAAAGTTTTACATTCAATTAGGTATGCACTATTTATGGTAGGGGTAAAAGAGTTTTTATGATTTTTTTTTTAGCATATATATTTTTATCCCAATTATTTTAAAAAGTGTATTTTTATCGTAGTAATTTTTTTGGGAGGTACCGAGCCCCTCTAAACCCCCAGATTTAGAAGGTCTCTAATGTAAGTAAAAGTTGGGCCATACTAAAAATGGCTTTTGGGCCAAGATCATCAGCTTAATGTTGGCGGCGAAAAACCGAAATACAGACTGGGCCAGGTCAGATGTTGGCTTCCCACAAACACTCTCTAAAGGGCTTCCGGGTGGCCTGCCTGGCATGCCATACTAGTCAGAGAAATTTGGACGTCCATCTTTTTTTATAGACTTATTTCAAGATAAATTTATCAAGAAAAATTATTTAATATTAAGTTTATTTTAATTTTTATTATCAAAAATATCCATATTAATTATGTTTAATTACAAAAACTTTGAAAACTAACAACACTTAAATTTTAAGAGTTTGATTAACGTTAAAATTTTCTCTCTCCCTCTCTCTCTCACACTCACATTTTTATGTCAATATATAGAATATGACTATTTATTTCATTTAACATTAGAAAAAATAGTAACATTTAATCAATAAAATTGTATCATTCAAACACAACAAAATAGTAACATTTAAGCACAAAAAAAGTAGTAAAATGTAAAACAAAAAAAAATAATATTGAGTATTAGTATTTAAAAAAATAGCAGTAGTAATATATTCAATAAAAGTAGTAACATGCTCACAAAAATAGTAACATGAACTGTAATATATATATGTGTGTGTGTTAATTGTTCTTTAAATTTATGTAAAAAAAAAATTATTGGCATGTCTTCATTGATAATGAATTAAGAGATAATAATTCTTAAGTTAGAAAATTAATTTAAAGTTACTTTCAAGGAAAGAAAAGGGTATTTTAAAGTTTTAAAAAAATAGTTGACTTAATTATTTTTTAGTAAAATTAAAAATGAACTTATTCTCAAATAAATTTTCTTAACTGATTAAATTTATTATAAGTCCTTAAGGAAAACACAACCCCAATTTTCACTACTAGTTACTACTTACTACTTACTACTTACTATTTGGGTACAAGTCTCTCAATTGATAAATTTTGATTTGAATTCGATTAATAAAAAAATAATTGGCTTTGCACAAATCCTCTCTAATGGACTTCCGAGTGGCCTGCGTGGCATGTCATACTAGTTACGACTTCCTGCTTGAGTAAAGGTTTTTCAATTGAACAGATTTTTCATTCTCGATTAATCAGAAATAGATTGATTTTTTTTATTGATAATATGAACTTGAATTTGAATCTGTTATCTTATATTTCATGGTTTTAGATTTTGATATACTTATATCTGATCCGATCCAAAATATGTATATATTTATATAAAAATATTAAAAAATTTAAGAGAATATTTGAAATATTTTAGTTGAAATTTAGATGTAATTTGTTACATTTTAATTAAATTAAATTATTTAGATGGGATCCTATTTTTTGAATCAGATTTGGAATTGTTAATAAATTCATATATCAACCATAAAAAAAAAAAAAAAAAAAAATCCGTCGGATTGTCAGGATTGAATTTAAATGGAACTTTTAAAGTCAGATGGACTTTAAAACCCAAGTTGCTAGAAAAAGTCAGTGTGCTTGCATTTCTAAATGGAAAACTGAACCATACCAAAATTGTTTCAACTATAGTTGCCATGATCAAAACTAAATACCTTAATCAGAAAGTAATTTAAGTAGAAGTGTTGTAGTTTTCTTGTGATAAAAAAAAAAAAAAAAAGTGCTGGCTTCTCAAGTGATTCGTTTCTTAATATTTTCTTTAAAATATTACCATCATTTTGCCTCTCAAATTTTGTAAAATACTATTTTTTTTTTTTGTCGTTCTAACTAATAAAAATTATCATTATTCGTTTCATTCTTTCTATGTGGACAAGATAAATTATAAATCAAACATTTTGAACTTAAATTTTGATAATTTTTTTAAAATTATTAAAATTATTTTTTTTAAATTTATAAATTCAAATATAAATTTATTTTTCATAAATTCGACATAATCTTAGATGCCGAAACGCTAAGGGAGTGTTTGGATCAACGGGAAAGGATTAGATTAGATTGGATTGAATTTGGGATCCAAATTGAAGAAGAAAATGGCACTCTGTCCCTTGTCTTTTCTCTCCAACCTCTCCGTTGTCTTTTCTGACTCTCTCTTTCTATCTCCTCTTCAAATTCCACAAACATAGCAAAACGTCAAACGAGGAATCTCTCTCTCTAACAGGAAAGAACATTATTTTGAAGGGCACTTTGAAGCTTCTTGTTGGAAAACTTAACAAACGAAAAAGCCGGAAGAGAAGCGAACAGAACAAAATCGTGCGGCGATATGAGGGCGTCGTTGGCCTTGTTCCTTGCGTCGCTCTTGTTGCTGTTAACGCTCTCCCATGGCTTATTGCCATCTCGAATACTTCAGCGGATGACCAGCAGTAGCAATTACTTGACCAATGATCAACTCTGGTTCAATCAGACTCTCGATCACTTCTCCCCATATGTACGCTCTCTCTCGCTTTTCTATACATATATGCGTATATTCTGTATGTGTTTTTCTATTAAATAGCCTTTCTAGGTGAGCGTTCAGTAAATCCGTGGATTACTCTTATTGCGATTTCAATTTTTTTTTCATTTCGAAAAATGTGAAAGAATGGATTCTCAATCAAATTTTGAGAGTAAAAATTGCCAACTTTAAATAAGGTCTTGCGCTGATTACACGAGGATACTCCGTTATGTTGTCTATGTATTTGTGAAGATAAATTTGATGAATTTGTATAGATTTTGACGAATTTTCAGTTTATTGGTATTATGAAAATAGGGTTGACTTCTTGGTAGCTTAATCTCAAGTGTGCTTTGATCATTTCGTAATGCCCATTCTTAGTTTTTAGCTGTGCTGACATTTGCAGGATCATCGTCAATTTGGGCAGCGGTACTATGAATATCTGGACGACTTTCGGTTGCCTGATGGACCCATTTTCCTGAAAATCTGTGGTGAATCTGCGTGTAATGGGATATCAAATGACTATATCAGCGTAAATTCTGATCCTTTGATGTAGTTTAATCCTTAAAGATGTTTAGATTAGTCAATACCTGATGAATCTTTTTCTTACTATTTGCTTTTCATGGTACTTATATACTTTCATTGTGCACACACGTGAGTGGGAGATTAGCAAATCAATCATTTAGCTGTTTTTGCCCGATTATTATAACAGCATTCCATCAGTCTTTTTCTTCGTTCTACTGAGTAGTATGTACTACAAGATGATTTCGGTTTTCTTTTCCTTGGTGTTTTTCGTAATTGATTTTGATATGAAGCTTTTCATTAGTTTCAGAGATATAGTGTTAACTCGAGTTATACTGTGGCACTACTTTTAGCTTAGAGGAATGTCGGCTATGTTAGGTAGGTCACAACACTGATGAAAAACCTTTATGATGTGCCTGGCATGAAGGATTGAAATATGGGAGGAAAGGAAGGTAAGAGGAATCGAAAGGACATTGCTTGGGGAAGGAAGCTTCCTTTCCCTTTTATTTGTTTGGTTTAGCCAGAAGGAAATGAAGGAAGGACTAAAAAGGGTGACATGTGCTTTTGTTGGAACCACAAAGATGAAAAGAATGAAGTTTTCCTTCCTTTTCTCCTCCTTTCTACCCACTTTTGTGTAGAAGAAAATGGTTTGGGGTGGACAAAAACTTTTTCACTCCTCTCTTCCCTTCCCCCCTCCTCATCTTCCTATTATACAGTTGAAACTTTGTACATCATTTCTCTTTCCCTTCTCTGCTTCCTTCTTCCCACTCTTCTTTCCTTCTGAGTAGACCGCTAGTGAAAACATTTAGAGATATCGTTTTTTTACAACTGGTAAAAATGTATTTACGCATGCCATGCAGTTTGCTATTGTGCCAAGAAAATCTGAAGATCTGTTTTGGGAAGGTCTATAGGGTTGGTCCTGATTTGCGGATGTATGCCAGGCAAGGCCGGGCTTGGTTTGAAATTTCTTGGTCCATTTAATTTTGTGGCTTGGCTTCAGCACTAAAAATTGAAGCAGCAGTTGGACGGCGATTGATTCACTTTAATTCTATGATAATATTATAGATATCAGTATTTTTATGTAATGTCTTGTTTATTTCATGCTTGACTAGTTTATTGGTTTTATAACTTTTTACATTTAGAGCTGGGCTTGAGGTCAACATTGTCTTGTTAGGGGCCAGGCGCCACCCTGTTCTGTGGTTGGCCTGGCTTGAAAGCTGCCAAATATCCATCCTGTGTGGTCTTTTTTAATAATTTTGATCTTGATTACTGCATCTGTGGCAAATTCTGGCAGAGTTTCTGTCAGATTACTGGGCTTATTAAAAGAAAATTCCTGAACCTTGTGATTTCAAACAGGTTTTGGCAAAGAAGTTTGGAGCTGCTGTGGTTTCTCTTGAGCATCGCTACTATGGGAAGAGTTCCCCCTTTAAATCAATGACTACGGAGAATCTGAAATACCTTTCATCAAAGCAGGCACTTTTTGACTTGGCTGTCTTCCAACAATATTACCAGGCAAGTTTCAGCTTGACTTCTGTGGCTGATGTTCTACATTCCAATCATTGTCCAATTTGAGCATGGATTACATTATTGCTAAATGGCAAGAAAAATGTGGTGTTATAGTAGATAACATTCTGTGCCTTTTATTGAATTACAGAGCATTGCAACATTTGCAATGAGCTCTAGAATTAGTTGGACCTAATTACAATATATATTGTTAATGAGACCATGTATTAAAGTGAGCTGTTGATCAAGATTTACAGCCAAGGGATTCGAAATATTGCAAGCAACCTAAGGATGAAAGAGGAGGACATCTCTACACATTGAGTCATGGCCAAATTATTTCAGTGGTCATGTCCTATGATCACTTAAGTCATTGTAGCCCAAAAGTTAGAGCCAAGCGATTCGGATCATGGTGAAGTTCTCAAATGGAGAGATGGCTATAAGAGAAAAGACCACAGGACATGTGCTGATACAATTTGGTTGTATCAATTACTTCAAAATAAAGTTCTTAATTGCTAGAAGAAAGATAAGACAAAACTCCTTGCATTTTTTGCTGGGCCATGAACTTCTTAAACACAACCACCTTTTATTTAATTGGTGTGGCATGAGAGTTGCACTTAACTCTCTATGGGAAACGATGGCCTTACCTGCTATGAATTAAATAGAAACATTTGAGTGTACCTTTGGCCTTATCACTAGGTAAATAATTAGATTTTGTTTGGATTCAGAGATTTGTTTCTCATGGTACATTTTTATTAACATTCATATATACTCACATATATGAGTACTAACGATAACATGCATTTATTATTGCTTAGGCAAAAACAGATATTTGTATGGCTGCAGGGACATGTGAAGTGTGAACACACTGTACACTCACACATTCCCTGTGGAATTGCATCTATTTCATTTGATCTGTAGTTGTCTTTGTGGCCTCAGGATATGGAGTTGACAAGTTTCTCTCTTTTCCTTTTTGTTTTTCTTCGGATTCTCTCCATTGCTATTGCAATTCTTAATTTATTTATAAAAAAATATTTTGCATTACTGTGTAGGAATCTTTAAACGCGAAGCTCAACAGGTCAAATGTTGAAAGTCCTTGGTTTGTTTTTGGCGTTTCATATCCTGGAGCTCTTAGTGCATGGTTCCGTCTGAAGTTTCCTCACCTAACATGTGGAAGTCTTGCAAGTTCTGCAGTTGTTCTAGCTGTTTACAACTTCACTGAATTTGACCAGCAGGTGAGGAGAAGAATTCCTTAGGTCATTGGTTTACTAACCATGGTGGTCCTTGCTTTTAAGAAACCGGAGCCTCAAAATTATATCACCTGTGAATGTTGTTAGACATTTCTGTTCTCATACTTCTTTTGCATTTCTCTTATATTTCATGTAAGGCATCATTGTGGAGTAACTGCCTACCCTGATTTTCCAATTGCAGATTGGTGAGTCTGCAGGTCCAGAATGTAAAGCTGTGTTACAAGAAGTTAATCAACTTGTTGAACAAAGGCTTTCATCAAATGCAAAAGAACTGAAGACACTTTTTGATGCAGATGAGGTATGAATGCTTTGTCATTGTTACGGTTGATTATGCTAAACACCTGACCATGAGTCCACATACCTTCTATACCTGTAGATGCATCAAATACTATCCTTTCTGGTTTAGGCAGTGTGTCAAATGTACTTGATGTAGAGTATTTTTCACTCGTCTGACTTCATGTGGGCCTTTTAATTGTGCAGTTAAAGATTGATGGTGATTTTCTGTATTTTCTAGCGGATGCTGCAGCTATAGCGGTTGGTGTGCATGAAATTTCAGTTGTTCACTTAGTACCAAATTCTGTTAAACTTAAATATGATTCGTTGTCCAAATCTTGCAGTTTCAATACGGAAATCCTGATAAACTATGTTCCCCTCTTATTGATGCCAAGAAGGCTGGGGAGGATTTGTTGGTATGGTCTCAAGTTTGCAATCCATTTATGTCTCTGCATTAGGGGTGTCTTTAAACTTAATTGGAGTGTTCTGGGTGCATACCATTTGTTCTGTCAAATTGCAGCGTATCCACAAAGTATGTTCATAAAACATTTGGTAAGGATAACTATTTATGAAATTACATAGTTGTTAGTTAGAAAGAATCAGGGCTTTTAGTTGTTTTGTTGAAGAAACTTATTTCCAACTTTAAACGATAGCCTATTTCGGGACTTACAAAGCANAAGAATCAGGGCTTTTAGTTGTTTTGTTGAAGAAACTTATTTCCAACTTTAAACGATAGCCTATTTCAGGACTTACAAAGCAGAGCCTTGGACTAGGACACCAATCTCTGTTTATCCTCAAAATCTCTCCACAGACTGGACTATCAGCCCTGAAGTTGCAACAGAAAATTATATGACCATTATTCCAGTATCTAAAGAAGAAATTTTCATAGCCTCTTCCTTGCTTTTCTTGAGTGCTTTTCTAATTTATGCCCACTACCTTTCTGCCTTCAGTTGTGCTCTCCATGTATTCATATGACGATTTTTTATTAATTTTTCTAGAAATCTTTGGGATGTACACAAAAGCATTTTTTCTATTGCTGAATGTTCTCCAATCCTCCTGTTTTATTATGCAGTTTAGATATGGTTTCAGGATGAGTAGTTTGTTTTGGCAATTTTCATGCTTATAAGGTTTATCCTCTTCAATGCTTACTATAAAGGGTCAGAGATACTTTGTAGTTTGTCTTGACTACTCCAGTTGATAAGGATTTAGTTTTTACAGAAGAAGATGCAACTCCAAAATCAAAAATCAATTAGTTCTATCTACTTAATTTAACCGCGGTAAGTGAGATTGATTGATGAAAATTCCGATTAGTGACTTAGTCATTGCAGGCAAGTGTTCAACACTCAACAGCCCATTCTGATAGCTTGTTTTGCTATGTGCACATTTACATTTTTGCCACGAGTTTTGCTGAAGTCAAATAATCTCTCTTCATACCTTTCCTACATATTTGTAGTACTGTTGGGCAGACCGTTAATTTGTTTGACCAAAAAACACAAAAAATTGAAAATGTAATCCAACTACTTACTGAGATTGCTGTAATGTGCCACTGGTAAAGTGCATTGTCCCCTGGAAACTATTTTCCAAGTAGGATCACTCTTTCGAATAGGAATTATGAACGTTAATACTCTGTTGAAATACATAATTCTTACTATTTCAGTTCCCTTCCTTCTGATCTTAAAGGAAATTACTGTCCAACTTCAGTCGGGATTAGGCATTACTAGTTGTGTTATCAAATCACATGCTTCCATGTTCTTAATTATTATGCACTTCATTCAAATGCCAGAAACAAACTATAATGATATCACTATAACTGGGTAATGACCCATATACTAGGAATCTGGATTCTGATTGTTTTTTATTGAGTTTGATTCTCATGGTGTTAGTAGTTTTATTATTTCTCTTGCTTTTTTTTTTCTTTTTGTCCATTTTTTTTCCCTCCCCATGATTGAGGCTAATTGCCTTTATGCTTCAATGCTGAAACAATCAAGAATTCAAGATGCTTATGATGGTGATTGAACATGTTTTATGCAGAATGCTTAGAATTGTCATTCTCTTTTTGTTGATGATAAAAAAAATTCTATGCAGAATGCATATGCCACGTATGTAAAGGAGTATTACGTTGGGAGTTTTGGTGCCAGTGTTCAAGCATATAACCAGCAACATCTGAAAAACACTGCTCTCACTGGTGACACTGCTGATCGGTTGTGGTGGTTCCAAGTTTGTACTGAGGTTGCATATTTTCAGGTGGCACCTGCGAATGACAGTATCCGCTCTTCAAAAGTTGACACAAGGTACATTTTTGTACGCTTGCCCATTGATCTGTATGAACAGAAAATTTCATGTTGATACTTATTGCTGTGTAACTTGTAGTTTTGTTGTTTGGAGATGTTTACTACCCTGTAAGTATCCAATTCTGAAATTGGTTGGTCATCTCTGGCAGATACCATTTGGACCTTTGCAAAAATGTCTTTGGAGATGGAATATATCCTGATGTCGATGCTACAAATATATATTATGGCGGCACACGAATTGCAGGTACAGATATCAGTGGTTTTTCAGGTTTTTCTGGCTCTGTATATCTCTTATTTCATGTTCTAATGTTTTAAGTATTTAGCCTCTGTATAAAAAGTCAATAGTCAAGAGATGCAGCATTCACGTTGAATGTTTCTACTGATCAACTTATGCTATCTTAGGTGTCATATTCTTGCACAGTCAATCCCTAGCCTGGGATGATAGCTGCCGACCATCATAAAACACTCGTCAAAGCCTTATAAACCGAATAATGAGAATTTTGTTGTTTAAACAAAGTTAGATGGGACATGCCTTCATTAAGTCTGAGTTAAATTGACCATACGTAATTATACCGTAAATGCATGAATTCTCGATTTTATCTATTCAATTAGGACGTGATTTACTGCTAAATTTTGATATCTTTTTCTTTAGAGCAATGTTATGTGAATTTATTTTGAGGATCTAATCCATTACTATTGTTGAATTAGTGGTGGGTCTCAATATTGGATGAGATCCACTATCAATCCAACAACAACAGTGCATCTCAAATTAAGTCCAAGCAGTATTATTGTTTTCTAGCCCTCAAATTAAGTCCAAGTACTATTATTGTTTTCTCTATTGGATTGAGCACTCCTTTCTTTGTCAATCTTGATAGAAAAATACAGAACTGATTAACAATAAGGGGACATGCATGATTTCAACCTTGACAGCCCAGTTAAAAAAAAAAAAACCCCTTGACAGCCAACTTCCGTGGGTGGATACAAGATAACTGTTTTTCAAGCTTATTTTATATTTGATTATGTTCTCAAATCTTTGGTTCTAAGTTGTTGGTAGGTTCTGGATTTGATTTGCTTCTGGTAGAGCTCTTTGTCTATGCTAAAGTCAACTTATATACAACAAAGGTCGGGTATAGAAGGGTTATGAGTATCATGGTTGGGGGACAGAATATACCCAACTGTCGCCATCTTTCTTAGATTTAAATTTGTTGGAAAACCAATTTCTGTCACATGTACCGTTCTCTCTGGTGTGCTACAAAACCAAGTCTACAAAGGTTAAAAATTTGATTCATCGTGATTTTAAATCATGGTACTAGAAAATCTGTAAATCTGCCACATACTGCAATAAAGACAATTCTAAGGGAGGACACCATTAGGGATGGCAGTGGATTGCCCCCCCCCGGGGAGGGGACGTAGTCTCCACTCCCGTACTCGCTTCAAAAATATTTGTCCAGTGCCAGTCCACCCCGTTAGTGAGGAAAATTTTAATTTCCGTCTCCGCCCGCGGGTAAATTTTTATCCTTGTCCCCGTCTCCATCCCAGTCACCCTCCCCGCCCATAACAATTAATTTCCATAATTTTAAGGGAAAAACAAGACAAATTGATAAAAGGCAAAATAATTTTCAATTAAAATGCAATAAACTCAATTCCACTTTAATGAAACCCATCAAATACTCTTCTCAATTTTACATTTCTAAGTGAAACCTTATTGGAACTGTATATTAGCAATCTAGATATTCAACATAATAGGCTCCCCATTTTCGTTTGAGCTTTCTCTATTATTTTTGCCGTTTATCACTTTATCTTGTTGTGTGGGGGGGGGGGGGTACGGAGGCGGAGAGGGGATGAGTTTCAATCTATACCCGCCCGGGTTTTTACAGCTATCCTCGTATACGTCTACCATCCACTACGTATGGCCCATACCCGATCCAAACGGGACGAGTTTGGATGAATACTCATTTTCTCCTGGTCCACTGCCATCCCTAGACACCACTTTTTTCAATTTGATTAAGAAGATCATGTTGAGTGATTTCTTTGACAATCCCTAGACACTACTTTTTTCAATTTGATGAAGAAGATCATGTTGAGTGATTCTCTGACATGAGATTTGCAAAAAAAAAAAAGGCTTAGCTAGGCTTTTAATTTTTTTCCCTATTCATTTTGAACCATCACAAATGGTTTTTAATTTTTAAATATTTTGGAAGTGGTCGAATGATAATTGAAACTGATGAAGAATTGGAAAAGAGCAAACTCGATAGCCATTTTTGAAAGCTGCCATTTAACTTAGTAGCTGCGAGAGGTGTAAAGTTCCATTGGTAGACAAAACAACCTAACAAATGAGAAATCTGGGGCAAGGTTAAACCAGATAGCAATATTATGCTTGGTTTTTGTGGTCACCTTTCCAGCTATGGTGCTATGTATATGGTTCTTGTGGTCACCTTTACTGCTTTCATCCTCATATACTTGCTTCCCATTCTTGTAGCTACAAATAGATTGGAACTGTATATAGGCTTAATATTTAAATGGTGGCTACATTCAAGTGCTCACATTTTGCTATACTACATTTTTCTGCTCATGTACTTGCCTAATGAATGTTCTCCTTGTCAAAAAAAAGAGTTTCCTGTGCCTAAATTGCAGGTCATTGGGAATTGGATTGATCTATACCTGTCACATTCTTGCTTGTTATTTCTATGATGGAATTGCCATTAAAATATGAATTGGCAGGTTCGAAGATAGTCTTTACCAATGGCTCCCAGGATCCCTGGCGACATGCATCCAAACAGTTTTCCTCCCCAGAGAGTGAGTTTTCCAACTACTTTGATGAGAAGTTATATTTTTATAAATTAATTTGGTGAGAAATTGTTTCATGCTACTGCTTGAGGTAGTAAGTGCCAAGTTGTCATGTATGGTGATGCTGAGCACCTTAGATGTGCATGTGCCTTTGTCCCAGTCCATATGACTGGCCCATGCTTTTACCTATTTTGACTCTAGTGTTGATATGCCACCTCTTGTTAGAAATCGTAGTCTATAAGTTGTTAGTTCTGACAGATCTAATTCATAGCCATAAGCTAATCTATAGATACGTCCTATGGATATAATTGACTGATATCAGGGGTACTTTCCTGCTCTCTTGTTTTTTTTTTTTCCATATATTATTGTTTAGCAGATTTATTATAGGGTACAAGCAGTAGATTCATACATGAGTAATCATTGACCTTAGTTTATTCAGATTCTTGGTTTATTGGATACAGTAACATTTGGTTTAGTTGGTTTTTTAATTAGTAAGCCATTCTGAAACCTTCTTTTTTAATTTTCCAGTGCCATCTTATATCATTTCTTGTCATAATTGTGGCCATGGAACTGATCTGCGAGGTTGCCCTCAGACTCCTTTAGTCCCTGAAGGTATTTCTTTTCACTTAAGCTTTTGTGTTATCTATTCGGATTAGGTTTAGCTCCTGAAAGCTTGGCCTCTGAGTAACTAAAGTTTGATGTAGTTTTGTCATGTACACTATCATCATGGCCTAATGTCATATGTCATGTATTGAAATCACCGTTGAGTAATTACAGCCATTGGTGGCAACCTCAATGTATTTCCACATATGTTAATAGGTTATGATTTTTTAATCCTTTGCCCCCAAGAAGAATGGGGACGTTTTTTTATTTTGGCCCCGTGCAGAAAAAAAGAAGGGGGGGGGGGGGGGG